ACTGACGCACTCACGCTATACCGCATCGCTACAGAACACACCACACACACACACACACACACACACACACACACCACACACACACACACACACACCAGTTTCCACGCACGGGATGACACACTGCAAGCGCCTAGAAAAAGAGCATCACTCTCTACTAGCGGATATTACGGCATTAAGTAACCTGCACAGCCGGCTAGGCTTACATGCAGGGCACGTTTACGCTACCTACTATTCACTCAGGCAGCTATTAATATTTGAAACAGTTATTCGCGGAAGGCGAGCGCGCACCGAGCCTACGTGCGAACATAGCTGTATTTCTCGTGAGTCATTGCCGAGTGACTTATAGGACGACCAAAATCCGATAATGGAACCTTACTTGTAAATTAGATGTAAACACAGTGGTCGGCATTTACCATTTTGTGGATTAACTCAAATGGTTGCTTTCGGCGAATATTTTCCCCCAAACAAACACAACATATTACCGTTAGCGGAAACGGTAAACAAACCTTGTTAAACGACTTTAGCCCGAATTTACCCTGAGTCTTAAAACTCTAATTCACGTTCGAATCAATGTAAAGATGGATTCTTTAGTTCATGTACGACTGCGGTAAATATAAGGACTGCTTCCTGTTGATTATCTAATTAGGTAGTGCTGCCATCTGTTGGAAATCCAGAGTAACAAAAAAGAATAATAAGCTTGAATTTAAACTACTACCTTTAATAAGTTTAACTCCAATTTTTGTCACATCTTTGGTCATTTTTCGGGCGAACAGACTGTTTCTTTAAATTTGTGCCAAGATTTCGGCTTCCGCTTAGAACATTTACAAATCTACGTCCGCCATTTTTGAGCACTCACAATGTGAAACCAATAGAATGAATGATATCTTGAGAATCGATCAACCTTAGGTCCCCATCCTTATATCCAATTCAGCGCACGCATCTCTCTATACATCACTCGGGCATGGACTCACTACTACCACACATTTTTAACTATAAGCGATCTCCGGCACTCGCTTCGGCAGATTCGCCTATCGCCCGCTCTTTTGGCCTCAGAGCGACACTCTATGGCCTTACCCCTTGTAGCCTCGCAAACCCTGGCTGTTTCGCCAAGCACCCTCCAGCCAGACGCATCCAATCTAGCAACACTACATCCTCCTCTAACGGTCCTCTCGCCTCTCCCCCAATTCTGGCCCATGACTCATCTTGGCGGCTCGAGTTCCGCTCCTTGTATAAATATTTAGCCCTTGTAGACTTCCACATACTAGTCAGCTCCTCGCGTCGCACATCTCGCCTGCATGATTATGACCGCCGCTCGGCTCTAACACTCACCTTATGCCAAATATCCTGCTTTCAGCGCTCGTTTAGCGTATGTGTCTCCGTGGCATTTCTTGCCCCTCGCCCCTCGGCGTAGCTCACTGCTTGCGAGCCGAGCTGATAGCGACTCGGCAGTGGTATTTTAGACTGACATGATCCCTATCACGGCCCCTATTCCATTGATGAACAGTGTGACCACAACACGCGACACAAACAACGTCTCTCGAGTGAGCCTACCGTCGAGCCTTTAAGACCATTACGACAGCGCATAAACTCAGGTATCGCATCGGTGACTCTTCCTGATCTTGCTACTCATCGACCCCATACCTCCATCCTCTCAAACAGCCTCACGATACGCCAATGACTCCACCCCTATCCTCATTCCCATCGTTGACTTTTTCTCACAACCTGATCCTAATAACACTTAAATAATACTCACATTACATACTCACGCAACTCACTTACTTATAACACTACATATAACTAACTTACACTCCTTTCAATACATCTGTCATCTCGAAAACCACACGTGATATGAATTTGCACTTTTCAAATCTTATATCTACATCGCACCCTTGCGTCCTCTTCTCCTGACACCCAGCGTTTGAACCACACTGAATATCCACACGATGTCCAGCCGCGCGATGTACCCTGCGTTTTCGGAGTCTCTTTCATCCCTCCTGAAAGCCGCTTACGAAGACCTCGGAAATACCTTTCCATTACATTGTATAGTTGATTACATTTTAATTTATTTATTATTATTTATTTATTATTAATCATCATAATTTGATATAGATTTTCTATTAAAACAAAACCGTCCCTTACCCTCCTCCTCCCATCGCTCGCCTTCCTCCTTGTGCCATCGGAATAAATCAACCGCGCTGCCTACAACCTTCACATCGGGCCCCCGCCGTGGGTCGCCCTGCTTCGCATCGTCTCGTCTTCTTGGGCTCGTCCGTGCGCGCAGGCGCAGTCGGTCAAGCGACTCGTGGACTCGCTCTTCGGTCTGTCAG